GCGAGAGATCTTGCTGGAGAAGTTGGAAGACAAGGTTTTGGCGATGGTGTTTTTGCCAGACATGATATTGACGATGTTCCCGGGGTTGATTAACAAGATTATTTGGGTGATAGGATTTGGTCTTCAATAGGTGTTGGATCGATTGATCGAGAAGATTATAAACATGGTTTTATATCGCATGAAGGATTTAAATCTCCAAAAAGTTGGTGGTTTACTAATTTCGATTCCATCTCTTGCTAATGCACATATACAACAAAATAGTTGAGGGTAATTTAATAACTTCATATATCAGTTAAGGGAAATCATGACTTAGACTGTATCAGAGTCCTAACATTTTTCTCCACTTCAATTTTTTTTTTAGGGAAATTAGCAAAGATAACCACAAAAAAACTATAATTAAAATTTTAACCAAATACTCTAAATTCCATGGTTATTATTTGGCCACATGGACCAATTTTGGTTACTTATCTAATTATTTTTAAAAATTGGTTATTTGACAAATTAACCCTTTTTTTAATCTATTGATGAATTTAGTTACTGTCTATATACATTAGCATGTTTTTATAAATTTTTTTTTCATATTATATACTCTCTACATATAAAACATAATAAAAAAGAAAAAGACAGTTTTTAAAATAAAAAACAAATTTTGGACCTAGAATTTTGGTTCAAACAGTCCAAAAACAAAAAAGGGTTTGAACTCACATGCGGCTATGGAGGCTATCTCTAAGTCTTCTAAATGGCCTCGTTATCGAGCATTACTTGAACATATATACATGTTCTTGGTGCCCAGTTTGAGGCTTGCTCCTTTGAACAAGAAACGCAGAGTTCTAACTTCATTGCAAGGGAAATATCCAAGAGTGTCACATGGGCGTTTTCAATCCTATTTATCTTTAGGAGGACCATCATGACTTCAGGATCGGATACTACATATAAAACATAATAAAATACAACATCCTTTAATCTCTATCTTTGAGGGTTGGATGTGGTTTTTGATGTTCTGTTCTTTCTTTTGGTTTTTTTTTGGCTTAATGCTTTACAAGCTTTAGAGCTTGTACTACAACTCTGTTCTTGATTTACTCATTAATATAAACTCAAACGTTTAAAAAAAAAATATGGGTTAATTTGCCATATAACCAACAAAAATCTAATAATTCATCAACTAACCAAAATTTTGTGATTATGATTATGTGGGTGATTGGTTGGGTTGTATATTTAGATTAACTGCTATAGAATTTGAGCTGTAGACGTTTTTGCTGTAGTTGTAAGAGTTTTGTTGTAACTATTTTAAAACTAAAATACGACTGGTAAGTATTGGATTTATGCTATAGAATAATTTTTAAATATAAATTTTTGAAATAAAATAAATAATATTTATTGATAACATATATGAAAAAAATATTTAACTAAATAATATATATATATAATATTGTTATATATGAATAGTACGTATCTGATACCAATTTTAATATAGAGAGTAATATTAATATATATATATGTATATAGAAATGTTATATATAAAAATAAGGGGACATAAATAACGTTAGCACAATATGTTATACATTATATATAATATGCTAACTATATACATATATGTGTCTTTCAT